ACCTTTTCTCTTTAAAAACATGTAGTGTCAACCTTTCCTTTTAAAAAATCTTTTTCAATTAAAAAATTTGACAATCTTTCATACCAAGCTCTAGGAGCTTGTTTTAAACCATAAAGAGCTTTTGTCAATTTTAAAACATGATCCGGAAAATTTGAATCTTCAAAACCTGGAGGTTGTTCCACGTACACTTCTTCTTTTATAAAACCATTTAAAAATGCACTTTTAACATCCATTTGATATAATTTAAATTCATTGAAACATGCAAATGCTAATAACATTCTAATTGCTTCCATCCTAGCTACGGGAGCGTATGTTTCATCATAGTCTATGCCTTCTTCTTGAGTATAGCCTTGAGCAACAAGTCTAGCCTTGTTCCTCACTATATTACCACTTTCATCAAGTTTATTTCTAAAAACCCATCTAGTACCTACAGTAGATTTATTACTAGGCCTTTCAACTAATTTCCTACTTTATTCTCTCAAATTGATTTAATTCTTCTTGCATAGCCATAATCCAATGTTCATCTTTTAATGCTTCTTTGATGTTCTTAGGCTCTATGCATGAAATAAATGCAACATAATTACAGATATTTCTAAGAGAAGATCGAGTAGTTACCCCTTTTGATGGATCACCTATAATTTCACCATCTTTGACATAGTTGTACTCTCTTGGAAAAGATACTTCCCTTTCTTCAATGGTTGGATTCGAGGGGATCATGAGTTTCCTCATTTTTGTTTCTTCCTTGATGATGATTCTCCAACGTCATATCTAACGTCATTTGCTTGTACAATACCTACATCATCATTAACAGAAGAATCCTTCCTCGGAAGGGGATTATCATCGAAAACAACATGTATAGACTCTTCTACAACTAAGTTCTTTTATTAAATACACGATAAGCTTTAGAGTTTAAGGAATAACCCAGAAAAATTCCTTCATCACTTTAGCATCAAATTTACCAAGATTTTCTTTACCGTTGTTTCTTTACCATTAGCTAATGTTAGGCTTTTATTTTTGATAATTTCATATGGAGTTTTCTTTAAAATTAGCCTAATCATTACTCGATTATAACATAACAAGCGGTATTTGTGGCTTCCCCAAAAATATTTTGGCAAATTATTTTCACAAAGCATGGTTCTAGCCATTTCTTCTAAAGTTCGATTTTTCCTTCAACAACTCCATTTTGTTGAGGGGTTCTAGGTGCTGAAAAATTGTGGCTAATACCATTAGAATTACAAAACTCAATAATCCAAGATTTTCAAATTCAGTTCCATGATCACTTCTAACACTAGTGATAGAGTATCCTTTTTCATTTTGGATATTTTTGAAAATGTGATGAAATTTTCTAATGCTTCTTAGTACTTAAGAATAGAACCCAAGTGTATCTAGAATAGTCATCTACCAAGACAAATGCATATTGTTTTCCTCCCAAGCTAGATACATCATTAATAGATTTAAAAGAAACTCGTCTTTGTTTTCCTTTAGCACAAGCATCACAGATTTTATCATTATCAAATTTAAGCTTAGGCAACCCTCGAACTAAATCACCTTGAATTAGCCGTTGCAAAACACTCATACTAGCATGACCTAGTCTCCTATGCCATAACCAACTATCATGCTCATCCTTAGCAACTAGGCATAAATTAGTCATATCAATAGAATCTAAATGCCCATGTAAATGTTTCCTATTCTATGACCAACAAGCATAATCCGATTAGATGCAATGTCAATGACTTTACAACCATTAATTTCAAATAAGACATTGAATCCTTTATCGCATAATTGACTAATAAATAGATTATGCTTTAATCCATTCACATATAAAACATTCTTAATTTGTATGGAAGAGGTATTACCTATTGTACCAATACCTTCAATGTGACCTTTTGAATTGTCTCCAAAAGTCACTTCTCCTCCATTTTTGGCGTTAAGCTCAATGAACCGGCTTTTGTCTCCGGTCATATGTCTTGAGCATCCACTATCAAGGTACCATGAGTTTGAATTTGTTTCCCGTGCCTTGTAGCAATGCTCCTTTCCCTACAAACATAGATTAATTTTTGATTTTTGGTACCCAAATTCTTTTGGGTCCATATTCATTAGTTTTCCAAAATCCTAGTCCCTTTAGGTATCCATTTGTGTAGGATATTTTTATCTTTAGTAGTAATGAGTTCTTTAGGAACCCACACACTTCTAATGATTTTTCCATTAGAGGTTCTTTGGGGACCTCTATGATTGTAGTTTCTAAAACTTTTTCTATCAAAGTTGGATTTTGAATTTTCACCTTTTTCAAAATGTTTTGTTCCAACTTTATCAAAAGAAGTTTTAAGATCATCATTTTCTTTTGATGATCATCATTGATCTTTGAAAGTAAATTTTGCAAATCTAAATTTTTCTTTTCAAACTCTTCTAGTTTGATTTGCAAATTTTTGATTTTACTTTCAAGATCGTTGTTGGTTTTGGATATGAGTTTGTTTTCATTTTTCAATTTTGAAACATCATTTTATATTTAAAAACAATTTCTCATAATCCGAAGCCAACCCATTGTACTCCTCAAATAACTCATCATAAGATAAATCATCAAAATCGGATGAGTTAGAGGTTACCTTAGAATCTTCCCCGAATGCCATCAAGCACAAGTTTGCTACTTCTTGTTCCTCTTCATCGGAACCTTCTTCATCGCTCCATGTAGCCACATGAGCCTTGTGTTTATTCTTTGATTGACCCTTTTTCTTCAATTGTGGGCAATCATATTTGACATGCCCCAGCTTTTTGCATTCATAGCAAATGATTGGGTCCTTCTCTTTTGGTTCATTTTTGAGGCCTTCGTTTCGTTTGAATTTTCTTCCTTGGTAAGGTCTCATCATTTTTCTGAACCGTTTGGCAAACAATGACATTTCCTCGTCATCATCATCATTAGAATCACTCTCATCTTTTGTGGATTTGAGAGCAACTCCAATGTTTTCTTCTTCTCCTTCTCCTTTGGTCTCTTCAACTTTATCAAGGTCCACCTCATCTTCAAGCATCATCTCATGAGTGAGGAGTGAACCGATAAGTTCTTCAAGAGTTAAGGACGATAGGTCCTTAGACTCGATGATTGCCGTCTTCTTTGATTGCCATGATTTTGGGAGGGAGTAGACTAACTTCATTTGGTTTCATCCTGAAATTTTCATAGCTATGCGTTAGAATACTAATTTTTGATTCTTTACCTCATCTGTACCTTCATGTGACTTGAAGTTTGTCCATATTCTTTGGCGGTTGGACACGATGAACTCTTCCGTATTCATCTGGTCCAAGAGCACAAAAATAATATGGATGGCTTTGGAGTTGAGCTGGAACATTTTTGTCTCTCCTTCACTCCACAACCTTGGATGAGTGAGGTTTGATGTATCCTTCTACAGCATTCCATGCTCCCATGTCACTTGCTTGAATGAAGTACATCATTCTATTCTTCCAATAGGCATAGTTAGCTCCATTGAAGAAAGGAGGCTTGTTGACGGGCATCGAATCGAGACCGGAATCGAAGTTTGAAGTGGAGGCCATTGATGACTTTGTAATCGATGTAACTCTTCCCGGATCGACTCAAGAGGCGATTAAACCTTCAAATGAGTTAGGCTCTGATGCCAATGTTGATTAATCGAATGACGAAATTGGCCAAGGGGGTGAATTGGCAATAAAAATTTTGTGGAAGCTTTTGCAGAAAATTGAAAAATAATTGCACAGCGATTTACAGTGGTTCGACTTTCTCAACAAAGTCTACGTCCACTACCTTAGCTATCCACACTAAGGATTTTCCAACAAATTCCTAATTTGTTCTTTCTTTTGAGGCCAAAGAGATACCTTACAATTCCCTCAAGAGTATACCCCAACTCTTGAGAACACTCTTTCTCAAAGAGAGATTACAATTTGCAAACTTACAAGAAAACCTCACAAGGTAAGATGTTTGCACAATTCTAGAACAAAGAAAAGAACACTCAAAGATGAATACAACTGAGCACAAAAGTGTTCTTGAAAGCAAAATGAATATTGAATGAAAATGGGCTGAAATGCTCAAACTTGAGGTTTGATGCTTTCTCTTTGATTCTCTCTTGATTCTAGTTGCTTGATGTTTCTTGTTGTTGATCAATGGCTTCTAAGCTTGCTTAAATACACCTTGGATCACTTCTGAACGTTGGGGATAATTAGAGAAGATATTATAGCCGTTTTAGTGTGAAAACATTTAATAAAACAGCTTGGACAGTGGGGGAATCGGTTCCCTCTCATAGGGAATCGGTTCCCTAAGTGTAAAATTCAAATATTTCGACCGTTGAACAGAGGGGAATCGGTACCCCCTTGGGGGGAATCGGTTCCCTCCGAGCATTCTGGAAATCTCGGAGCCAAACCATTCAGGGGGGAATCGGTTCCTCCTATGGGGGGGAATCGGTTCCCTCTGAGTAATATGGAATTTTTGACTTTGAATTGGTTCGAAATACTTTATAAAATATTTTGAAATTGTTTTATGATTAAAACTTAATTTTACACTTAAGTAAGGATCAAAAATGATTTTTGAAATATTTGGAGTAATGTTTTGATATTCGAATAGTTATATCGAATATACTTAGAAAATCATTTGGAAAATCTTAAAATCCATTTAACTTAATTTGTTATATCGAAATATTAAAATGTTTCAACACATTAATTTGTCGATGTTTGGAAATTATACAATTTCTCACATGATTATGGGCAGGGTATTGAGAAAATGATCTTCGCGGTCTAAAATGTTGATTTTTTCATGGGAAGATGTCAAGCTTCGCCACAGGTGAATTCTAACCATTTTAACTTGCAGCGCAGGTTGTTTTTTGTAGCTTACAGGTTGTTCTTGAATATGTATATATACATTGTCTATGTATATGCATGCATATAACATATAAGCAAGAGTTTTTTAAGATTCATATACTTGAAGAATTGTAACTTCATAACTATGATCAAATATCTACTGAATGCATAAGTCGAACGGGTACACTTTACTGGAAATGTTCATTTGTAGGCCGTTTAAGCGGTTGCGAAGGCTCTGGGAATGCTACCGATATCGCTAGGCACCGCACATTCATCTCCCTTCCTCTGTTTCCCAGAGGAAAACTAGCATAAGCTGCTTGAACATGGCTGTAACAACAGAAAAAATCAATGTTTTTTAGCATGCAGATTACAATATACAGATTAGGGAAACAACGATGAAGAGTGAAAGCAAATTATGATTACCAATCTTGAGGAGAGGCTTGAACTGCTCGTTCGAAGTAGTTTGAAGCTCTTTCTTCATTATGGTGTAGCTCCCACACTAACTTGGCGTATTGCGACAGGGTTTTTCCGTCTTTCGGATCCACTAGAACGGCTCGACCGTAATACTCTTCTGCCCCTTGAAGGTCTCTCTTTGACTGTTGAAAATTGCTCTCAGTGATTACCATCTCAGAAAGAAAGAAAATGAAAAGGTGAATCAATTGTAAACAAGTAATGGAACACTCGCCTGATACAAAAACTGAGCACAATTCCCCAGAAATATAGGGTTCCCTGGATTTTCCTTCACCATTCTCCTGTAATGCTCCTCGATTTCACCATCTCCATTAGAACCTGCTGAGTTGAACTCACCTCCACCACCACCCCAATCGCCGCCACTCCTGCCACCTCCATCCACGGCTGCCTCAAGTCCTATAGGAAGAAACATATCTACACCCACCAACCCTTTTTCATCACTGACTGTAACCTGTTCATTCAATGACAGATTCTCCAAGCTGATTGAGTTGCATCCAATGGCTGCTACCATTTACACCAGCCATTACCTCTTCTCCTTCGGAATCACTCCCGTCTTCTTCCTCACACCTAGAGCCCGAATTATAAAACGAAAAGGAAGGTATGGTTTGCAACATCAAGCACTTGTTTCTTGCAGACAGCTTCTTGTGTTGGTTCTGATTGTAGAATTCATCACTGCCATTGCAAGCAGAATAGTCCAGTCCTTCCAAGTTCCCATCAGATTGCGCCCGGCGAAAACCTTTGAGTTCGAAATCCGAACCCTGGTCGACGACAGAAGGAGATGTAGGAGAGGAACCACAAGAAGCTACCGTAGAGAGGTGGACTGAGCCTGGAGAGGGATGAAATGAGAGCCTGTTGCCATGAAAGGAGCTTGATGGGTGGTGCCTGAAGTCGTCGCTGGTTTCATGGTGATGATTGTTGTTGTTAGGACTATCAGCAACTATGGAAGATACGAGTGATCCAAGAACCGGAGTTGAAGAACTTCTTAGCAGCATACCCCTGTTCTGATTTTGAGGAAGAAAGCAGTTGATTGAAGAAATGCAAAAAATGTTGAGAATCAAAGTTGGTGTTATTATTGGCACCTTTTATAGGAAAAAGAAAGCAAAATAGGAAATGAACATGTTTGATTAATTATAATTTTCTATGTTTGGTTCAAAAGAAATAGAATTTTCTAGGATGTTTAGAATTATTTTTTCCAATAAAATTTAGAATAATTTGTGTGGTGGGTATAGCTATGATTTGATCTTCATGGGGAGGAAAACATCAAGTTGTCCTCCTCACATGATGATCCAAATTAGGTTTTTGATTCATTCGAATTTATTTTAAAAAATTATTATTTTTATTAATATTCGTTTGACCTAGGTTTAGGAATATTATATTTGATTTAAAGTTTAATATAAATTTTGAGGTCAAAATTTACTTTCGATCTGACACAACTTATATATAAATAAGTATTTAATTAAAAAAATAATACTTATAATTAATTTTAAAAATATATAAAATAATTATAATATTATTTAGGATTGGTCAGGTTGAATTTTATAATAAGGGCCTTTAAAAGTTTAATTTTATAAAATAATATTTATTTATTTATTTTTATAGTTAAAAATCATAACTTAATCATTTTTATACTTTATTAATATAATATTAGATTAATTATTCAAAATAACATAATATATTTTTGTTATATAGGGCTTCTTTTTGAGTTTTTCTCAGGTTTATAGTTAAGAGTCTCTAATTTTTTTTTCTTCAATTTTTTAAAAGTTTTCATACTTTTTACTTTTATAACTAAGGGCTATAATTTAATAATTTTTCTATAATTTATTAATGTAATATTAAATTAATTTTTTAAAATAATAAAATATATTTTTATTTTATATACCCTATTTTTGATTTTTCGATCAAAATTTATAACTAAGGACCCCTAATTTTTTTCCCAATTTTATAAAATAGTTCCTACTTTCAACCTTTGTAAATGAGGGCTCATAATTTAATTATTTTTTATGATTTATTAATATAATGTTAAATTAATTATTCAAAATAATAATATATATTTTCATTCTATATGATATGTTTTAAGTTTTCGCTCAAAGCTCCAAAAATATTCGAAAAGGCTTTGTTCTAACTTGACCTAATTCAAACATTAATTTTAAAAGAAACGACCTAATTTAGGTCAAATACACATCCCTATATCTTTAGAGCTACATGGGCATATGCTGCTCTTGAGATTCCTAGCTAATTACTTGGCTTTGCCCGGTTGCTATTAAACCTAAACCAAAGAAAACCAAAACCTAAGCTTGTGGCGTTCCATGTAATATGTGACGTAATTCGACACGTTGAATTTTAAGGTCTCCCATACTCGGTTTCATCACTGTACACGTAAAACGTCATGTTTGGAACATTCTGCTGTCGAAGAAAGACAACACTGACCAATGCACGCAATTCGACGACTTGAAGAGTTATGAATCTTGGACCTTCCCTTTTTGTTTTCGTCTTGGAATCTTGCCTTTGTGCAGCTTTTAAGTTTTGCATGTGCTGCATTTTGTCAAGAAAGCGTCAAACCCAAGTTATATTATGCTAGTTTTAAGATTATCGTATAATTCTGTCGATATCTAATCTATTGAAACATTAATTTAGATCAAATATTATAAATACTCGTTATAAGAGTAATCATTTCGATCTAGTTTGCTCTATTTACAACAATGACACTTTAACTATTAATCTTATTTTAAAGATTTAGAATTTCGTTTCAATAAATCAACTAATTTTAATACATATAAATTTGTGTTAAACACTCGAAAAATTGTTCAAAAATATTTTTTTATAAGAAAAGAAAACCAAAGAAAATTCGTTCAAAAGTAAGCATTGGGCCATCGACTCAGATCGTTGTAATCAACCCTATCAGAATACATTAAAAGTCAGAAGGCCAAAGTTTTTTCATCCGGGTTCCAAGCGAGTCGAGCTAAAGGATCACAGCTGACTCCAAGCTGTAACGTGTATCGCAAATTTCACACACAGATAGTTCACATTGAGAGAGATTAAAAAGAAACGAACTTTGAAGCTAGAAGGGTTTAGGGAACATCCATTTGTGGCATAAGGTCGAAAGATATGTTGCCTGGAAGATTGATTTCTTTCTTCAAAAGTTCTCCATCTTCAAAGATTTCCTGGTATACTTTTCTTTTCTGTTTGTCTCAGTTCTTTCGCCATTCTTTCTTCTTCTTTTTTTTTTTTTTTTCGAGTTCAAGTTTAAGCATGTCCTTTGTTGGGGGTTGATTTAACTATTAGTGTTAACTATTACCATACTCAGCTGATTTTTTTTGTGAGATATTGAAAGCAAGTTAGTGCCCAAAACTGAAAAAATGGGATCAGTGTCAAATACCAGACAGAGAATTAGAAATTCAATGTGCAGATAGTTCCTTCTAAGTTGTCACATTATTATTTTGTAATTATAAGTTGGGTTTGTTGTTCATGTAAGCCTTAATTCTTTTATTTTTGGTGTGTTTTTTAGTCTCCTCCAAAAGATGAGTTATAAGTTGATAATAGTTTACTTGTTTGATTGTATTATGCAGAACTCGAAATTCTGTGAACGAGGAAAAGAGCAAGACGTTTGGTCGTAGAGCGGTGTCTTTTGTCTTGATTACTGTAACAGGTGGTGTAGCCTTGAGTGCTCTTGATGACCTTGCGATCTACCATGGTTGTACAAGGTATGTTCCACTGCATCTGACTCACCTCTATCGAATTATATTTATTCAAGGTCTTTTCTTTTCCAAAGATGGCCGACAAGATTCTTGCGTTTGGGTTGGCCATGAAACTGTGGTGGTTTTCATTTCGAAATGCCTTACAACATAGGATTGGACTTGGTGTGTCCAACATGCTTAACTTATTCTCTTCGGGACGCAGAAGAAGTGAGGAAATTCCTTTGCCACTTGTCACAGAGAGTTTGTATGGCAGGAATTGTCAAACGTTCCATATGCAAAATTGATGATTCTTAGGTTTCTTTTAGGACTTGGGGAAGTATGCACAGAAGGTTTAAGTGCTTGAATACCATACTATGTCTTGACGCTTGAATTAGATTTTTCAGCACAGCTATGGAGAAAGCCAGTAAGCATCAGGCAATTATAGATGCTATTGGGGAACCGATTAAGAAGGGACCATGGTACAATGCTTCTCTTGCCGTTGCTCAGAAGGGGCGTTCTGTATCTTGTACGTTTCCCGTGTCTTTCAACAGAGTATTACAATTGAAGGCAGTTCGTAATGGAGGTTAGTTTCATCTGCTTATGTGCTTCTTCTTGTCTTTTTCTTGTTCAAGCACTTAGATCCACTCATTAGTTACAAGTGTAACCCCCAAAATCACTCACCTTATGTAAATAGCACATTGTGTTGTAATTTCGCAATTGTAATTTCGCAATCCATCTTCATTCTGAATCATTCATTAAGCAGTTGTCCGTGTTATTCTCTCTTATTCTGAATCATTTATAAGCTGGATATGCAATCTCTTTCAACCCGAAGCCAGTCTGAAACAGGGTTCTTTTATAGATGATACTTGGTATTCCTATTTCCTTCCTCGAGACTGGGAAATCCTAATCATGGAAGCCCTTCTACACGTTCCTGGGAACGAAGAGAAGCAGCGAGCATTACGAATTAGTCTCCTGGAAAACATCCCTCATCCAGCTCAGAGGGCATGCACTGAATGCAGGCCTCAGAAATCTGAGAATAAAGAGAAGAAATGAGAACCCATACTCAAGAAAGTGGCGATTTTTTTTCTTTCCTTTGGAGTTCGAATTCAACTCTTCTCATGTCAAAACTCCATATCTGATGTGTCCCTGCAGATGAATAAATTTTGTTGTCTTTTGTAGCTTAAAATATGGTGGAAACACCAATTATAAATTTGGTCTATAGGCTGATAGGAGTCGAATAACTTTCCTTGTTAAAATAAAACATTCTTTCATAGAGCTCGATTTGTCTGATGAAGTTTTTAAAGGGTGAATCCTTGTGATAATAAAATTTCATTGTTCAAATTTCGGAGTGCATCTGCAATTTTTATATCCCTCCTTTCAATTATTGCATGTAAATGGCAGAATCTTTCTTACTTTATGTTTTGAGGTACAATGGATTTATCATCTTGCATGACTCGGTCCCCGAAAAACGGAACTTTATTTGCAGGAGAGAGCCAGCTTGATATACAGTTCATATTCTGAACACTATGAACCAGTGATTACAAGCTTTTAACAAATACAATGCTACACAAAAAATAGAATATAGTTTTGGAAAGGGAAATGTTATTCTGTTCCTAGAACAGGCCATTTACAGGTGATGTGCTAAACACTGGAATGTCTTTGGTCGATGCATTTCCGCCATTGCTGCTACTACTGCTTTTCCTCCTAGGCTTTGCTTCACCGAGCATCGTAATCACGTCCCTCATCGATGGTCTGTCCTTGGGGTGCTTGGCTGTGCAGAGAAGTGCTATCCGAACAACTAAGAGCATCTCCTCTTGAATATGCTTACAGTTCCCTAAGTTAGGATCTAATGCCTCTTCTAAAGCTTTGTTATCTCCAACCTTTCTCTTAATCCAGTCGACAATATTGATGGATTCTCCGAACTCTGAATCTAAAGGTCGTTTCCCTGTTAAAAGTTCGAGTAAAACCACCCCAAAACTGTAAATGTCGATCTTTTCATCTACCTTCAAGGTGTAACCATACTCTGTTACAGGATAATAAAGAAATAAATTAGGATTATTCTATAAACAGGGAATCAAATCCATGGAAGTGAGATGTCAAAACTGCTGACTTACCAGGAGCTATGTAGCCGTAAGACCCTGCAACCATCGAGACTGTTTCGTTCTTTCTGACCATCATCCTTGCCAAACCGAAATCAGCAATTCTTGCATCGAGATTTGCATCAAGCAGTATGTTGTTCGACTTGATGTCTCGATGTATAACAATTGGATGGCAATCATGGTGGAGATAAGCAAGCCCTTGTGCAACTCCAAGTGCTACGTTATACCTTGAAACCCAATCTACCAGCAACCGATCGGCTTGTTTGCCATTCAAGGCATCTGCTAAGCTACCATTTTGCATAAACTCATACACTATCATCATATTGGTATCATTATGAAGGAATCCTAATAACCGAACTATGTTTCGATGCCTAAGTTTCCCTAGGACATTCACCTCTCCGACTAAATCCCCACCGTTTCCAGATTCGACATCAGCTCCCGATCTCCACAACTTTTTAACTGCTACAACTGCATTTGACTGTGGCATCTCAGCCTTGTATACGACCCCGGTGGCTCCCATCCCGACCACATTTGTTTCTTTGATACAGGCTAGGATGTCAGCAGCTGTGAAACCAAGTCTTCGGAATGCCATTAATCTCCATGGACATTCTCCCTTTCCTGCTTCATACCCTTCTTCGAAGCAACCGCCATTGGAGTACATCCTCTTATAGAGCAATCGCCCACTGATGATTAACATTCCAACTGCTAGAACCAACGAAATCCCAGTGAACCATTCGGCAACAATATGCTTTGCTCGCAAACTTCTTTGCCTTGATGAAGAAGTTGCTGAATATAAGTTACATGGAGGGAGGAGAACACTGCCACAGAGATCGGCATTGCCGACGAGGTCATCTGGATTGATTGTTTTTAGCACACCGTTTGCCGGAACAGGACCCTCTAGTTTGTTATATGAAACATTGAACATTTCTAAAGCTGGAGAGCTTCCGAAACTGTTAGATATCCCACCTGTTAGAGAGTTGTTAGACAAATCAACAAAAGCCAAAGTGGGCATCTTTGCAATCGATTCCGGAATTTCTCCGGTCAAGCGGTTGTTCCTCAGATTCAAAGTGACTAATTTCTCACAAGAAGCAATGCTAGCTGGTATGCTTCCTGTGAAATGGTTTGTTGATAGATCAAGCACAGAAAGTGAAGGCCAATCCTGAAACTGATCTGGGATTTCACCAACCAAGTTATTGTTCGAGGCAATGAACGTTTGCAGGCTTGGGATTGAAAGAATGGTAGATGGAAGGGAAGATTGGAGGTCATTACTTGAAAGATCAATAAAAGAAAGTGATGTAGAAAAAGTTATATCGCCCGGGATTTTCCCGGTGAGGCTGTTATTCGCCAATTCTAACCTCTGAAGCCTCCGAAGTTTACCGAGTCCAACCGGCATTGTCCCGGATAGAAGATTGTTCTGCATTCGAACGCGAACAAGCGACGAACAACTCGATAAGCTGACTGGCACCTGACCTGAAAACGCATTGTTGAACAGAATAAGCTTGGTGAGATTGCCTCCATTGCACAAGGTTTCCGGTATTTCACCAGAGAACGAATTGGAAGATACATCCAACCACAGCAACGGCGAATTCTTTCCAAGATCGACCGGAAGTGATCCCGACAGGGAATTGTCCCACAACTCGAGAACCTGCAATTGGGTCAAACCTCCAATTCCAGCAGGAACAGAGCCTGATAACTGATTGCACATCAAGTTCAAGAGCTGTAAGTTCTTAAGCTCGGAGATCTTATCAGGTATTTCTCCAGATAACTCATTATCAGATAAATCCAGCACCCGCAACGAAGTGATGTTGCCAATGGACGGGTGAATCTTGCCTTCCAAACTGTTCTGATACAAGAAAACTGTTTCAAGTAGCTTGAGTCTCCCCAGTTCAGCTGGAATGTCTCCACTAAGATTGCCAACAGCCAAATCAAGGTACTGTAGACTAGAAAGGTTACCGAACTCGACCGGTATACCGCCTTCAAATTCATTGTACCCCATAATTATAGTCTCCAGCGATGAAAGCTGCCCGAGTTCGCCCGGTATCTGGCCAGTGAGATTATTGCCTGAAAGGCCAAGGAATTTCAACTTCTGCAAGTCCTTGAAAGACCTCGGAACTGAACCCTGAAAGAAATTTCCCCTCAGGTCTAAAGTCTCCAATGAAGTTACATCGCCTAGATCCTCAGGCAGCACACCTGTGAAACTATTGCTCGAAGCATTCAGCAATGTTAGCCCCGAAACTCTACCAAAGCCAACAGGAAAGCTCCCATTGAATGAATTCTGGCTTACGTCAATGCTGCTGAGTAACGTGAGATCAGTTATGGTTTTCGGCAAAGCTGACCACATATCATTGCAGCGCAAGTTGAGAGAACTTATGCCTTTCAGTTTTCTGATATCGTCAGAAACTCGCCCGCTGAGATTCATATAGGAAAGATCAAGCTTTTCAACTGCACCATCAGAGTTGCACCGTACTCCAGTCCAGTTACAGTGAGCAGAGTCCCCGTTTTCCGGCAATTTCCAATCGCCGAGGCGGTTCAACGGATCGATGAGACCGGCCTTTATTGATAACAAAGCCGATACTTCATAGTTCGAGTTGGGTTTTTCACCGAAAGAACAAGAACCAAAGCGGTAGCACAGGAAGAAGAAGAACAACAACAACAAAAAATGGGTTCCAAGCTTCATATTGATCTTCTTGACTGGCATCTCAGTAGACCATTTTTGACATTGAAGAACTAGCAGTGTAGCTGGAACATGCACGGTTATATCAGTGTTTTTTTAACTTTGATGATAAAGTGATGGGGGAAAGAAGAAGACTGATTAATGTATAAGTTTGGGTATATAAATATTATAGAAATGGATGATTAGTTTAACCATCGGAGAGCTCGTGAGATCTTGGGTTCTGGGACAGCTATTAATCCAAGTGACGACGGGGAAGCTTTTGGTCTTTATTCGAAGTTTCTCCGACATTAAACATGGAAAAAAATGCGTTTATTCCATTTTTAAATCAAAGGGTTAATTATGATACCAATACTTTTTCTCTTCCAAATTTTAAAATTTAGTCTCTTTTACTTTTAATTATAGGGATCTAATCCTTTTACACCTAATGGCATTCAAATTCAATTATATAATGACTTTTTAGGTTGAGGACCTAAATGTAATCCGAATTTTAATGTTATACCAAGCATTTGATTTAAGATTAATTATAAAATAAGTGCCCAAACTAAAACTCTTTTCATGAATATGTGCCCAAACTTTTTTTAAAATGATTCAGGTGCATAATGTTACAGACGTTACCACCTTAGGTACTCAGGTCGTAAACACTATTAATTTTATCCGTTAAGTAACACGTGTTACATTCTAGTAATTTTAAAAATTTTATTTAAAATTAAAATTTTATTTTAAAGAAAAACACACAAAAAATTCGAAATAACCCCAAAACATTGAAAATTCTCATTCCAACCCCTAAACCCATATCGTCTGCCGCCCTTTGCAGTTGACGAAGCTCTATCAGACTTCTCCTCCCCCTAATGATCAATAACCCTATGAAATCAATACCAATCAACGTTTTGTATCCCACGAACCTTGGGCTGAAATTTGTGACCCCACACAATCCCAACAATCAATCGACTACAACTATGACAGTGTATGACTAGGAAGATAACAAAGACTATGTCGGTGAAAGTGGTCATGGCCGGTACGGCTACGATGGTGGGTTAGGGATTTAGGATTTTTAGAGAATTGAGTTTATTTTGTAATTTAAGAGAAATTATGATTTTTTATAAATATAATAATTTTTTTTTTGAAAAATTCAAAATTACCAAAATGTGACATGTGTCACTTAACGGAGAAAATTAACAATAGTTGCGGTCCGATCACATAAAATGGTAATGTTCGTAACGTTAGATACATGAATCATTAAAAAAGATTTGAGCAACTATTTGTGAAAAAACACTATAGTTTGGTCACTTATTTTATAATTAAGTATTGATTTAAAGAGAAAAACAATAATTAAAGGGTAGAAATCAGATTTTAAATATAAGGTTATAAATAGGACTATAAACGAGTCGAGTCGAACTTGAATATTGTTGAGCTCAGCTCGACTCGACTCTAAAACTCAAGAGCCTAAAATATTCAAGCTTGACTCGTATTCGAAATCATGAATTGAAGCTAAAAAAAACTCGCCAAAGCTCGAAATGAAAACAAAATATTTAACTTATATCGGTTGAAGCTCAAACTCAAACACGAACATGAACAATAAGTACTTGAGAACCTTCTACTACATTAAAAAAAAGATAAACACGTAAATGTTAATATTAATAATTAAACAAAATTTTAATATATAATTTTCTTGAGTTGTTCACGAACTTTTCGAGTCGAGTATCAAGTAGTTCGTTTCGTCTCATTAAGAACTCGAGTCAAATCAAGTATTTATCAAACGTTAGTCGAATTGATCTCAAATAGCTCACGATATATCTCGTCTCATTTAATGTTGGAGTTATAAATGATAAAACACTCGGTCAACTTAAGGGAATAATGATTGGCGTTTCATTATGCTTTATTATCTGTCATCGCTATTCAACTGTAAAGACAGCACACGTTGAGTGCATTATTGATGTAAACCACATTTCTCCCTGCTCATTTGAAGAATTTTACTCACTTCAGTTTAATATTATCATTCATCGTTATGATATTGATAGGGTATTAACAATATTAACGTGATGTTATATATATGAATTATAACATCATTATTTACGTGTAAATTATTCTATTAATATTGTGGATCGTCATGTTAATGCAATTAATTGTCTCGTCAATACTATAATGATCAATACCTTTTTTGTTACATTGATAATTTAAATCGATTACATAGACAAAAACAACATTAAACACAAATAAATTAAAATCGTAATTAAATCCAAATTATATTGAGAATTAAATTAATCACTATATTGAGAACCTCACTCTTTTGCGTGATTAAGCACTAATTAAATCCAAATTATATTGAGAATTAAATTAATTACTATATGTTAAAGACATAAAAATGGAGCCCCATCATGTCGTAATAAATTAATTCTATGTGGGTGGGCTTTAGTTATTTGTTATGGTTGAATTGGATGGAATCTTCCCATGTTATATGCCAACCTAAATTGAGGAAGAAATAGAAAATTAAAATTAAATTAGTTGGATTATATCTAAAAATATTAAGTGTAAAGTACCGACTATAGAGTGTTGCTTTATTGAGTCATCTGATTATTAAAAGTTACAAAATGAACCTCTGACTATAGAGTGTTATTTTCTCGAGTCCATCAACATATTAAAAGTTACAAAATGATCACTTGACTATTTATATATTCTAAATCCGTTCTTTTTTGTTAAAAAATTAACGATCGTCTAATCTAGACATTTACATGCTGACTTAGATATAATAATCGTTTGAGATTCTAGGATCAGATTTCATCGTATCCTAATCAACAGATTGACATCCAACTTAGACCCTCGTTAATCTTTTAATAAAAAAAAGATGAGTTTAAAATATACGAATAATCAGAAGACTATTTTATAATTTTAAATAGTTGGGGGACTCAATAAAATAACACACTATAATTAAGGAATATTTTATAACTTTCAATAGGTGAGATACTTAACAAAACAATACTCTATTTTCAAGGGACCGTTTCTATACTTTACCGAAATATTAATTGTTCAACATATGTTTTCATCTTATGATGGAAAGTGATTTAAGAGAGATATGCATGTGGACTGATTTGTCGTACCCTTTCAGAAAGAAAGAAGCTCCTAATTGCACTATTAAACAAAAAGAATGTCATGCACATCATCAATCATGGTCCGCCCACTACCATTTTTTTGCCCCTTCGGATAATAAATAACTATAAAGAACAAAACTAACCTCCCACATGGTAACATGTGGACCGATTTATAAACATCTCATAATTAAATGGTTAAACGGTGCATTTTTCTATTTGAGAATACAAAAGTAGACGTGGTTGACATGTGAATCAATAAGTACATGATAATTTGGCTAGTAATACCAAAAATATAAAGTTGATATGGATGGGTCAGGACCCAGGGCTGTTCTCTTGGTTTAGGGTCGGGATATACCTAAGATTCAATTGAGATTACTTATCAAGAGTGACGATGATAGGATTCAAACTTAGTCTTACAAACTCCAATTCATGAACCTCAACCACTTGTACCAACACTCGTTTGCAAGAATTTCAATAATTTGATAATGAATGTTTTATATCCCTGACATATACGTGGTTTGAACATGCAATCTCAATGAATTATAACAAGTCCTTTAAATATTAAGATCGTTTTGTTCGTACGGAAAAAATATAATTTAAATTTTAAAATTGATTGAATTTTAACTTGATAGGCATTATTAATGTGATAATATTTAGGAATATGAGATTAAATATATCTAAATATTTATCATCATTCGATTTAAAAATTAAATAATTTAAATTATTCGACGGATATTGTATATATTTATATACAAAACAAACACTTCGTTTCATTTCTCATTACTAGAGAGAGAATGGGAGAATGAAGAACAAACCACACAAAACACCAAAACTAAATAATGTTTATACACTCATCATATATATATTTTAAATTTATTTATTTAATAATATACATTATGTTTATATGCATAAAATCAACATAGAAAAACGAAACAACGTTGAATCCAATATCCAAATTAATAGTTGAGGATATAATTTTTAGAGTAAATCGCATATTTAGTACCTAAACTATTAATTTTGATATGTTTTAGCACCTAAACTTTTATTTTTTTTCAAAACTATGCCTAAAGTTTAATTTTTGTTTCATTTTAGTACCTCACCATTAAAAGCTTAACGCGTTTAGTATCTGAACTATTAGTTTTTGCCTGTTTTAATACATAAACTTTCAATGTTTTCTAAAATTACCGTTAAGTTTTGAACAGAGATACTAAAATGAAACAAAAATTAAACTTTATGTATGGTTTTGAAAAAAAATGAAAGTTTAGGTACTAAAACGGATCAAAATTGATAATTTAAGTATTAAATTCAAATTTACCCTAATTATTATTAGAAGAAGAAATTCAAAATATGTATACGTAATCCGAATCAAATAACATTCACCGTGATATCATAAAAGAGAGCAACATAGTTAAAATAACCGGAACAAATACAAACAAGAAGATGCTACCATAATCTAATGCGGAACCGGCTGGTCCTCCAGTAGATGATCCCGAAATCAGAGATCGATCGCCGAATTTAAGGTCTCCGAAATAGAGATGCACCCCGGGATTCTTCATCTTAATGTTACTCCCAATCAAAACTGAACCGTTAGCGCCTTGAACGTTGCTGTTGGTATAAATGTTGATGCAGCAACAGCCTTCGGACTTGTCGGACATGCCGCGGCGGACGAACATCGTGGCGCCGGCATTGGTTCCGTCTATGTCGATGCGATCGAAAGAGCCTAAGCCGAACTCCGGGACATTACTGGTTGTTCTCGACATCGTTGGTTTTTGTTTGGGTTTCTTTGGATTTAAGTCAAAAAGTATAATCACAGTTGATCTTAATGGTTTTTGCTACTTTGCTTGCACACTGAGTCTTTTGTTTTCTTCTACAGAAAGAAAAGTTAAATGTTCTATTAGAATGACTTAAACTACACTCTTTTCTTTTTCTCATTTTAGAGGAAAATCACAAATTAATTATGCACTAACCAAAAGTTTTACTGGTGTTTTTCGCAGCGCTTAAAAACGTCGCTATAGAGCAAAAAATACGCCGTTATTAAATTGTTCTTCTATAGTAAAAAATATATCAATATTTTAACATTTTTTTGTAGCACCATCGATATTCAATCTATTGAATAATTAATTTGAATCAAATCTTACAAAGAGTTATTATAAAAATGACTATTCTAACCCAATTATCACCATCCACAGTAACAAAATCCAAACCCTATATTTTTACTTAGGAGACTTAACACTTTATTTAATTAAATCAACTAATAATAGATAATATTTTAAATTAGTAGTTTATATCATTAACTACTTAAAATTCTTATAATATTATAAATATCTTTTCTTATTTATAATTTCAATTTTAAATAAAATAAAAGAACCAAAATCATAATTTGACCTACAAGCTTCACTTCAATCTAGAGTGAGCGGAATTCGACTCGATTCGAAAATCGATTTTTTGACTCAACTCTATTTAGAGAAATTCAACTCGAATTGACTTCGAGTTGTTATTTCATAAATTTGAATCGACTCGAAAAAATTTCAAGTTCAAATCGAGTTATAAAATACAACTCGAATAACTCGAATTTTTTAGTGATTAGTGAATTGATTTTCAAGTTTAAGTCGAGTCTTTCGACTCTGTATAATATATGTAAATCACATATAGAAAAAATATGAAGCAATATATATGTTTTCTATATGGTTGTAAAAATTTATTTAAATTGGAATCAAATTATATCACAACTAAATTTAATAATGAAGTCGAAAACTCGACTCGAAAAAGTTTCAAATCAAGTTTTAATTATAAAATAAAACTCATCAAATCGATTAACTCAAAACTTTTTGACTCAACTCGACTCGATCGAATGCTCACCCCTACTTCAATCAAGGGTTGAAAAGCACAATTCTCTGGGCTAAAAGTTCACACCCTGCAATTATAAGGGGCTAAAATGAAAAAGCCCAAAATCTATTAGTGACCTAACTGCCATGCAAGACCAAATGAAAAACAAGAGCGAGCCCGCTTGTTTCAATTTCCCATCCGTTAAACCCTTGGCTTTGATTTCCATGGGCTTAAATACCAGAAATTTCGTGTTCATGCCGGCTATATCTCGGGACTATTAGCTATAATCCTCTGTAAATTCAAAAGAATCTACGTTTCTGAATTCGAGCGATCAGAGGAAAATAGGATGGAAGACGAAGCAGAAATTTACGATGGAATCAGAGCTCAGTTCCCCCCAGCTTTTGGTAAGCAGCAGAAATCCCAAACCTCGCTTGAAGCCATTCACAACGCCACTCGCCGTTCCGCCACCGCTGCCGCTGCCGCTGCTGCCGCTTCATCTCCCTCTGTCTTCAAGAATAGTGACAGTAAAACCAATGAAGCACTCCCTTCTGTTTCCTCCTCTTCCAAAGCTTGGCTCGATTCCCTTCGCAATTCCAAATCTTCCAACCCTAACCCTAATGGCTCTGTAATTGGCCCGCCTCGTCCGCCTCCTGGTCCAGTCCCTGATAAGGATGAGGATGATGACGTCATGGTAGGGCCGCCTCCGCCTCCTCCTGGTTTAGGTGATGATGACGATAACGATGCCAAGATCGGGCCGCCACGCCCGCCGGTTGGTCCGAGTTCGGACTCAGACGAGGAGGAAGGGGAGGATAACCGTTACCGAATTCCAATGAGTAATGAGATTATTCTCAAAGGACATACAAAGGTAATTCATCTAATTCTAATTTCTCTAAAGGTAAAAAACCCATTTAATCTGCAATTACTAAAACAATTAAATCCTAACCATGTTTAATGCTTTCAGATTGTTTCAGCTCTTGCAATTGATCACTCTGGCTCTAGGGTTCTCTCGGGTAGTTATGACTACACAGTTCGAATGTTTGATTTCCAAGGAATGAATTCTCGTTTACAGTCATTTAGACAGCTTGAACCATTTGAAGGTCACCAAATTCGTAATCTAAGCTGGAGTCCTACATCCGACCGGTTTTTATGTATCACTGGCTCTGCTCAAGCTAAGGTTATTTCTTATTACTTGTTAGTATTTTTGGATTTTATAGTATTGAATGCTTAGTTGCTCACGATTGTATTCTGATTTTCAATTTAGATATATGACCGTGATGGACTTACTTAAGGTGAGTTTATAAAAGGGGATATGTATATTCGCGATTTGAAGAATACTAAGGGACATATATCGGGGTTGACTTGTGGAGAGTGGCATCCGAAAACCAAGGAGACAATTTTGACATCATCAGAAGATGGATCGCTTCGTATATGGGATGTGAATGACTTCAAAAGTCAAAAGCAGGTATGTTTTTTTACATTGCTCTATTGAAAGGAAATTATGTAAAGAAAATGCGTCAATTATTTATTATTTAGGTTATCAAACCAAAACTTGCAAGGCCTGGAAGAATTCCAGTTATAACATGTGCATGGGATCGTGAAGGGAAATGTATTGCTGGTGGAATCGGTGACGGTTCTATACAGGTACTTATTGCTGATAGCTAAACACTTGTTTTAAGTGGATGTATTGCAAACCATCTTGTTGTTGTGTTACTGCTTTTGTTTTCTCCTTGATCACATGATTGCTTGAACTATTTTGCAGATATGGACCCTTAAGCCAGGATGGGGAAGCAGACCAGATATATACATTGAGAAAAGTCATTCTGATGATATCACGGGACTTAAGTTTTCTAGTGATGGGAAAACTTTGTTGTCCAGAAGCTTTGATGGTTCACTCAAGGTAATTTGCACGGAGTTATCACAGATTAATGATGAAATCTCCTCTTCCCTGAACCCAGAAACCAAATAAATCGTTTATAGAATCTTGATATTTGTTATGAATTATGATTTGTATGTCAGGTTTGGGATTTACGCCAAATTAAAGCCCCACTTAAGGTGTTTGATGATCTTCCAAATAACTATGCCCAAACAAATATTGCATTTAGTCCTGATGAGCAGCTCTTTCTAACTGGAACATCCGTTGAGAAGGAAAGTACCTCTGGAGGCTTGCTGTGCTTTTATGATTCTTCAAAACTTGAACTTGTTCAGAGAGTTGGGATATCTCCATCTTGCAGTGTTGTGCAGTGTGCTTGGCACCCAAGATTAAATCAGGTAGATCATACTCTTTTCTCTTTGTGCATTATCCTAAGCACGCACATTCTCTTGCTTGCATGATCAAAAAGTATGGACTGATAATAATAATATGAGACTAATATAATATTTTCTGTTAAAGATATTTGCAACATCAGGAGACAAAAGCCAAGGAGGGACTCATGTACTGTATGATCCAACACTTAGTGAGAGAGGAGCTCTTGTTTGTGTTGCACGTGCACCAAGGAAGAAATCTGTTGATGATTTTGAGGCACCACTTGTTATTCACAATCCTCATGCACTACCATTATTTAGAGACCAACCAAGCCGTAAGCGCCAACGGGAGAAGATATTGAAGGATCCTATCAAGTCACATAAACCTGAACTTCCAATAAATGGACCAGGACATGGTGGTCGGGTTGGTACAACCAAGGGAAGCTTGTTGACTCAGTACCTTCTTAAGGTAATGGTGTTTTTCCTCTCAAATAACTTGTCTTGTGTTCCATAAAATTTTAGTGTTGTGTAACTAAAGCCATTGGAAGAGACTTACATGTAGCCTCTCATTGCAGCAAGGTGGAATGATCAAGGAAACGTGGATGGAAGAAGATCCTAGAGAAGCTATACTTAAGTATGCTGATGTTGCAAGCAAAGAGCCAAAGTTCATTGCTCCAGCATATGCTCAAACTCAGCCAGAACCTGTTTTTGCAAAGTCAGATTCTGAGGATGAAGAGAAATGATCTTATCATGGTAGCATTTCATTCTGTACTTTTTAGTATTTCTCCTTTTCTAAATGATGACTACCAATGATTGATAGTTACACAGGTTACTTTCTTACTGTCATGGTTCCGACTGTTGTGCTTTTTTGGCAGCTGATCTGTATGATCTCTATGTTACCCAAGTTAATATGGGCTCCTACAGAACTCATTGAACTGAACTGGTTATCTGGAAGGTGTAATTATTGTCATTTTAGCCGACCCTCTTGTGTTGTTGGACTGACTGTAAATTTTTATTTGCACGACATCCTCAAAAAATGATTGATTCCTTTGCCCTACCATCTGTAGGAGTCAATATCAAATTTAGTTTGCATTTTTATCAAAGTATAGAATAAAATCAATAGGTATATTGTATTATATGCTTTGTAGAAATATGCACATTAAGCTAATGATTTTTCCATTTTGAAATCATAGCTGTTGATTACAAAAGCAAATGATTATTGTGTAGATGTTCTTTCTTGAGTGTTGTTGGGTGGTCAACTGCTCATGGATGACTGCTTAGCTAAATTACTCATCGCTTATTTTCCCCTTAAATCATAGATGTAATATAATCCTTTTTCTCATACCCTGTGCCAAACAGGCATGATCGATACTGTTTAATTATTTGGTTCAACACTTCTTACATAATGTAGCTGTAAGGAATAGTGTTAGATTTATGATGATGGTTGGTTTGCCCTTCATGGTCGTAGTGGTTAATTTAGCTGATAGAAGAACAGATGTGAATCCAGTCACATTCAGAGCTAAATACAGACCAAGAATTCAAGTTGCTGTATAAACTGTTTGATTAGACTATTGACAGTTACAAGGATTTGCAGGTAATAACAAAATCTCTTATCTTCTAAGCATCACAACCCATAAAATTGTAGGGATGATAACAGTTGTTTGCAACTTTTTTCTCGATGGCATTTCCTAATTATTATTGCATG